ACAAAGAGAAGAGGCTCTTCCAGTTCTGTTTTGTTTGTGCATGTGCTGTGAGGGAGACATGAGGGTTGGTCTGTAATTAAGGAAAATACCAACTTGTAACTTCCTCTGCTTCAGAACACTTTCTTTTCCATGCTGTTTCATTGCACTGTTAGTTGCAGTGCACAAGGAGAAACTGCAAAGGAACCAACAGCTCCTGGACCAGACTTTTGAGGGTTCTTGGATGCTGGTCAAGTAGTAAGTGTCTGGGAAACTGATTTTTGGAGTTCTAGGTTATCTGGAGGCAAGACTTCCAGTGGATTGTTGCTTGAAACAATCCCTTGTGGTTCAGAATTCATATGAACTTGCGTACTAGTGCTATCTGATCTGTCACACTGTGTACAGTGACTTGGATAACACTCGTGGCATCTCAGGGTCGGTCTGCTCTGCACAGTCATGTGTTAGACCATCTTTCTGCCAGTCTCATGTGAGGCAGATTCCTTGCTGCTTACACATACTCTTCAACTTGTACTCAGTGCTGTCATCTTCATGGTTGTGGGTTTGGTTTGGTTTGTTTGTTCTAAGCAGTGCTTATTACCTCTCTTCTATAGCGCTTCTTTCTTCTATAGCACTCTTCTGGCGTGTCCAAAGAATAGAACTCCACAAGAGGGAATAGGTCTGTCCCACTGAAAGAATTGGATGCTGCTTCTCTACAAACATCTTTTTCAAGGAAGTTGTGCACTCATTTCAAAACCACCACAGCGTGTTTCTTTCTAATGGAATGTGTCCATGTGGCTTTTTGGTTTGAACCTGTCATGAAGGGGTTTCCTGATTATTGGTGGGAAGCAGTGAGTTTTTTGTTCATCAGTCCCTGGGAAGAAGCTTTTCATTAAATGCTAGCTAGCTGGTTTCCTGTAGCCAACTCTATTTGCAGTCATGTTCAGCTGGAAGATGTTGCTTCATTGTTCCATACCAGAATTTGTATGGAAGGATAGGTCTGTCATATGTCTCCCTGTCACACCAGGGTAAGGCCATGCTCTTCTACATGTTTATAAAAATTTTGGGGGGTATCTGAACTGACTGATTTGTACTTAATTGATTTTTTTTTCTTTTCCTCTCAGTTGACCCTTGCTTGCACTAACTGTTGTTAGGAATAGCATCCAACTAACAAGCTGTCTAACTGATCAAAGCCCCAGGTGGGATTGTCATACGGAAAGGCAAGAAGCACAACTTGGCCATAATACATAGAATGAGAAGCAAAGGCAAAAGCAGCAAGCTCTGTACAATTTTGATGATAGATAATTTTGAATGAAAGTATATTGAATAGCATGCTGATTGTTTGCTGGGGGTGCCAGAAAGTTACTGGAGTGCTTTGGTCAAAATTCTGCAGTTCATTCCAATTGAAGCAGAATTTTAGCCTTGATTTGATTAGCATACTAGTTTCAGTTGTGAACCTTGTAAAAATCAGAAATGGGGTGAAATAAACATTTTTATCCTAGTTCTGAGGGTTTTTCATGACTTGATGCTTATGACAAGGGCATCGGCTTGGACAATGTGTTTTTAAGAAGAAAAGCACATTGCAGTTGGAGAGTTCTGTCTGTCTTCAGTTGAAGGAGCAGCCTTTCTGTTATTTGTGAGCCAGCTGTGAAGGCATAGCCAGGATGTATGTGTGACATATATATATATATATACACATATATATATATTTATTTATGGTGAAGTTTGTTTTCTTTCAAAAACTGGACAAATGTCTGAAAGAGCAAGATCTGAGCCAAGTAGGACAGGGGAAGAATGTAGGGAACTTAGCTAAACGCACAGCAAACTACATAGTTTGAGGGGCTGCGGGCAAGGTGACAGAACAAAAAGTGTGGGGGAGAGGGCTGGGGGCTGCAGCTGGGGGCTGTCCAGTTTCAGATGCTTGGTTCCAACCAGAAATACCTGTCACTGGGAAGCTGGTGACTAGAAAACAGAGGGAGAGGTGAAAGCTGTGCTCAGGAGACAGGCTTTGGCTTTGTGCCTCTCCTCAGTAAATTAGCTTTCCATTCCTATTCCCCGTCACTGCTAAAATAAGGTATTATGTGTAAGATGAACTCGTTTTGAACTTAGGGGATTGTGAAACCTCAAGTCAGTTTCTTTTCCCCACCCTTTCCTTCAGCTTTAATGAGAAGTTTGTGTGCTATTGGAGGTGAGGATTATTTTGCTTTCTCTATTGCAGAAAGGTGACGTACGTTTTGGACATCAGCTTCGGGTTGAACAGCCTCTTTGGGGCTGTCAGAAGAGACCTCAGCAGAAAAGTAAAGAATCTATTAATGGACACGAGTTAACTGTCCACAAATAAAGAACAAGAGATGGACGAAGGGAAAACAAACGCTAATAGAAAAGATTCATGGAGTTATGATTGGGAAGCAGAGAGAGGTGTACAGCCAAAGCTTTAGTTTTTTGGACTTGCATAAACTTGCTGCACAGTCCTAGTAACCAGACTAACTCTAGCTTGTTGCTGTACTACCAATGGGCTTTGTTTAGAAACTTGAAGGAGACAGAGTGATTCCAGCACGCGAATCATACGTTTCTAAAGTCTGCATGTTTTCAGTTTTAGTGACTGAGAGATCTGGGAGAGGTTCCCACTAGTGCCAGTGGGGCATGCAGCCCATCAATCCTACACACCCATCATCTTTCCTACAGAAGCTGATATGGCAGGCAGCTTTTGGTGTTTCACCACTGTCATTTAGTCCATTTAAACGGTTTGCCCTTTAAGGAAAATAATGGGGATGTTTCCCCTAAGCTTGGACTGTTTCAGAGATGCTTTGTTCAGACCGCTTGCTGCTTTGGTGAACGCTGTTTTCAAAATGGGAAGTGTCAGCAAATATTTCATTATTAAATGATGACTCTCCTCAGTTTTTTTTAAAGGTGGATGTTAGGAAAACAGATGGATAAAAACGATCTGCACTGAATGCCAGGCTGTGCTCTGTGTGCTGACTGGGGGGGAATGCACTTGCTGGCTTGCTAAATTGAGATAATACTCTGCATGGTGATGGACAGAAAAACAATTAGAGCTGTCAGATTCTTTGCTGACGTGTGTGTTGTCACATGGAGAGACGGCTTGTTTGGTGCCAGTAAATCTGAACTGGTCAACTCTCAGCAAGATACGAAGTTAATTAATAAAGTTCCTTACAGTTGGGCTTTGGAATGTGAGGGCTGTTTATTTGTGAATAGGGCTTAACCAAGAATAAACAACAGAGGTCCTTAGTGGGGCCTCCTGGGTGTTTTCTCAGTCACTGCTGTATTGCGGGCAGATTAAAAGACTTTCTCCCGCACGTTTATTGGAGCATTTAGTTGGCTTTACCTGCCTGAAGAGTTCCTGTGTTTCTGTGGACTCTGGTAGCACTTGTGTGGCTTGTAGTTTTCTTTGAAGTATGCCACTCTGTATGGGAAAACGTTTATTTAAACTCTTGACCTGTTTGGTTTTTTTCAGGCGCTTACTAAGATCTCAAAATAAGGAATTTCTGTATACACTGCCATTCTTAAAAGTTATCACATTTTCATTGATGAATTACACAAGCATATTTGAAATCTGGCCTAAACACTTGGAATTACATTTCTTTTGTTTTCGGAATGAGTGATTTTGGGCAGGAATTTTGATGTGCTGCAGGACCTACTTTGCAGCACAGTTTAGTGCTTCTGCACTAAAACTTATCATGCTTTGAGGTGTGTGGCTGCTGAATGTCACAGCTTGTCACAGGACCATCAGGAGGGCTTCTGGACAATGCATCGATATGGCTGGCAGCTGAGTGCAGGAGGTGGCTGTAGAGGGGAAATAAGCTTTCTTTTGTAGCTTGGGGGGCTGTACCAGTGTGTCTTTTTCATGCAGAAAGAGATGTCAACTTCATCAGGAGAAAACAGTTCTGATTAGACTGTAAAATGACCTGGGTTAAATGTTTGCCTCCAGGTGTGACCCTGTTAAATCCATCAGCATCGTCAGATTCCATTTTCATTGTGTAACCCTAGCATGCTTGTTTTTATTAATGGCCTGCAAACAATTTTCCAATTTCTTGTGTTCTGTTTCTGTGTAGTCCATTTCTCTGGTACCTAACTCTCCAAAAATATTATCTTTAGTCATTTCATTTTATCCATATGGGATAACCTGATTGCACGAGCATCCTTTGCTGTACTGTTGCTTATTTTTACTCAACCTACTTAAATAATCTAGCTATATCTTTAGTTTTCTTTTTTTTAATAAAAAAAAAGTCACTGGTTAATTTTTTTCATTTGGGAGGGTTTAAGGTTTTTTTAGCAGACCATTGTACTTGAAAGTTTTGCAGCTCAGTGGTTCTAGCTGGAAACTGGCTTCTGAGCCATGATCCAGAGGATTTGCTAATGCAGAGGAAAAGCAGAAAGAAAACCTAGGATAACATTTGAGCCACAGGTCTATCTTAACAGCACAAGGTTGGCAGGGGTGGAAGCACTTTGGCAACATTTTTCCTACTGTACTTCCTTGCCCTGGAGAAAGAAGCAATCCTTTTCTGCATGCTTTCCTTCCTGGATTTTCTTGTATTGGTGCTGCATGCTGGTGCCAGGAACCTTCAGCTACTTTTGTATGAAGACCAAGGGTGGACTCTCAAGGACAGATGTAATTAAAAATGTTTCCCTCATGTTTTGCTTTGCCACCACCTGCTAGGAATTGCACCCTGACACTGAAAACATCTCTAATTGATCCTGTGAGGCATCCAGACAATATAGAAAGGATGGGGCACTGCTCACTGAAAACTACGATAGGTTTACTTTGGAGTTGTTCATTCGATACTCTTTCCCTTGGTGCTCTTTTCGTAATAATTTAAAATATTAGGAAACAAACTGTAATTAAACTTCTGATAAGCCTAAAAGAACTTCATGGGTAGAGATTACCAAAGCATGAGAAGCTGGTTCTCTGTTACTAGGTTAAAGAAATGAGATTAGAGACTATGTTCCTCTTCTACCCAATAGATGCTAACCTGAATTTATTCACTTAATAAACTAGTTTTGCCTCCTTATAAGCATCAGTTTTTTTCTCTTCTAGCTCCTGAGAAAAGACCGCTGCATTATCAGTGCTGTAGCTGCAAGCATGACTTGACTGAGTTGCATTCATGGCTCTTGGATGATCTGGTGAACCATGGAGCTCAAAGTATGGGTGGATGGAGTGCAGAGAATTGTCTGTGGAGTCACCGAAGTCACAACATGTCAGGAAGTTGTAATAGCCCTTGCCCAGGCTATTGGTAAGTACCTCTGTCAGCTGGATGCCTCGGGCTTCAGTGAAGCTTTTTTATGAAGCTGAACTGAGAGCTGGTGGGGGTGCACTGAGTCCCAGAAGAGCATGAAATTGTGCAGTGGGGTAACCTCCTAGTGTCTTAGAAGGCAGTGAAACTTGCATCATTTTATTTTTAATATGTAACCCATTGGAGAGGTTAGAAAAAAGAAAAGAAACACCTTGAAAAGTGTGCACTTCCTTACGGCACAAATTTGTTCTGTGAATTATTACATACTGCTATTTGTCATTGTAAATATAGCCTGGACTAAGGAAAGTGCTGAACTGTCAGTGTTTTGAATACCAAGGATATGAAAAGCAGTGGAGAACAATTAGTTGGCTTTCACAAGCTAGTGATGTTAATTGAAGTTACACACTTTGTAAGGGATTTATAGCCATATTGGGCATAGCATAGATGAGTAAAATAGGTCCTTCAATAGGTCCATTCTCTTTGTCCCACACTCTGTGTGACTCCCTCTTAATGAAAGGGTAAGGTGAAGTCTGTTCAGTGTTGGCTATTTACTGAATAGTTTATACAAAAACAACAATGAAACAATCATCTTTCATGCTCCACTGTGAGAAAGAACAGTTTTGTTAGTTCTGTCTTCAGTCTTCTCAGATATTTCTTGGCGGCCAAAGGCACGTTGAGTAAGCCTCAGCCTCATCCCTTCCGTGTTTCCTGTGCAGTTCTGATCATCATTTTCATATATTTTTATCTGATATAAGACTCACATTTGTGTATTTTGTATCTTGTGGGGATTGAACGCAGTGCTACCATGCATATACTCTATCTGAATGTAGCAAATGTCTTTTAAAATTTTTACTTAAAATATGCCAAAAGGTGCTATGTCTCCAAAATCATATATCCAGTGTAAGCTTTAAGAGTGTTTTAACAGTTTGTATTAGTTGCAGACTTTCATTTAATGCCAATAGGTTTATGAATTGCTTCTTTCCATGTCTTATTTTCTGCCTTTTTTTATGATAGTTACGCTAGTGTGATTATTTTGTACTGATGGTTAAAAAGCATTATTTATTTTTAAAAAAGAAAGCAGTACTTGTGGCAGACTTTTCTGTTCTCTGTCTTTTCTGTTCTTTACCTTGTTTTCGGTACCTCTTCCATCCCATTTCCTTTTCCTCCTCCCTCAAAATGAAAAATGTCAGGCTTCTAATTCTAGACGGTTCTCTCATGCTTCCCAATGTTATTTCTTTGTTTTTCTTCTCCATCTTAAGTTATTGGCCTGAATTCTGAAAAGACTCCATTAGTCTTGGAAAGTTCTGCAGTTTTTGTCAATTCAGCAGACTTTCTTTTCTGTAACATGTCACTTGGGGCATGCAACTCTGTGTGGAGATAAAATTCAGTTTCAACCAGTGCCAAATTAAGATAATCCAAGGTCATACAACTTGGAAACTCTTTTATGAGGCAAATATCCTCTCTAGAAAACACCTAGAGTGACTGTGCTCCAGCTTCTCAGTGGGGCTGCTTGGACGCTAAACACCGATATAAACTACATCTCTGTGAGTTTGGCAGGTAGGGTTTTCCCAACCCTCCTGTCAGGCCATTCATCAGAAAAGCAACCATATGTCTGCTCCTTTGACTTGGCTTTGTGGACCAGTTTACCAGGAATAATTGTCACTCAGATTTGGATGGGAAGCTATTAAAATGTATCCTGTTAGGTCCCACCTGACATCTGATGGTGGAAAGTAGCCAGCCTCAGTTGGCTTCCTCCTTGGTTGGCTCTGATTTTATTTTCCACTTTGCAGTCTGGCTCCTTGGTCAGTCGCATAGTTTAGTAGGACTCAGTGTTATTTTGTCTGTTGGTCTGTCTGCAAAGTTTTTCAGATGCTCCTTTTGCTTTCTCACAATATTTTCCTAAGTTCTTGATTAAAAAATACAAGCACCCACCCCTCCAGCACTACGGCCTTCTGCCTTGAGCCTGGAATGTGAACTGTAATAGATATATTATTTGCGTTGAAGTGCAGATTGGGAATATCTGCAAATTAGCTTATTTTACAGCCATATCCACTGAATAAAGAACAAAACAAAGGTACTTGTCAGTGCTCTTTGAAAACACCTGCTTCTCATGGACAAGCTAAATCTGCCTCCATTCCAGAAATAAGAAAAATAAAGCTTTACAGTATATTTTAAAAAGTGGGAAATGGAAAAAATATATATCATAGAATGATTAGTGTTTGAAAGACACCTCTGGAGATCGTCTGGTCCTACCCACTGCCCAAAGCAGGGTCATCCAGAGCAGGTTGCCCAGGATCCTGTACAGCTGGGTTTTGAGTATGGCCAAGGATGGCAAACAGTGACTCCACAACCTCTCTGGGCAACCTATGACAACCCTCATAGTAAGAGAGTTTTTGTTTGTTTGATTGCTTTTTTTTTCCTGTTTTGTTGTTGGTGGTGGTTTTTTGTCTGTTTCGTTGATGTTTTGTTTGCTTTTTTTTCTTTTTTTTGTGGAGAGGGTGTGGAGAGTGTCAAAGACAGGATGTTCTGGCTGAACGAATATAGCAAGTCATGCTGAGCTGTGCCCCCTTGTACGAGATTCTGTCCCATAGCCAAAGCGTAGCCTAATCCTTTGGCAGCAAATAGGAGTTCTGGCACTTACCTTGCCTATCTAATGCTCCTTGACTTATTCTTTACAAACTGGTATTGTCACTATTACTTTTTTAGTGGAAGTGCTGTACGTCTCTTCTTTGAGGTTGATGGATATAATTTGTGTTGCTGCTTCTTGCATTATGATCTCCTTCCCTGTTTGCCCTTTTCTTTATCACTGAAGAACAGCAAATGATTCTACTCCAAATTTCTGTACAAATTAGTTTTTCAATTTCCATTTTGCTTGAAGCTAAAGGTTAAATCTCATCTTAATTAAAAAAAATATATCAGAGTTGTCTCTTTTTTTTTTTATCTCAGCAAAGCTGATTTAAAAAAAAAAAAAAAAGCATGTGTACATATTTTGTATATATTTTAATGAGGAAAAGAGTAACAGCAATCAGATATAACTTTGGAAGTGGACTGTGTGTCTCAAACATAGGTACTAAAAATGCCTCGGCTGAAGGGAGGAGCTCCAGAATCTTGTTCAATTAAAACATAGGACTATAAAGTATTGAGTTTCTAGAGAATGAAATCACCTCCCACTGCTATCTCAAAGAGCACTTGATATTACCCTTTAAGTTAAATCGCTTTCAAATTATGAAGTGAGATGAAAATTTGACCTTGTAAAACAAAAGAAAATGTCGTTTCCCCAGGAGAAACAAAGCCCCCTCCAAAATATAGAATATATATACCACAGTGCACAAAATGGAGAGCCATGAGTTTTATTTAGAAAGTAATTTTGCCAGGAGAAATGAGCTAAGTATTTTCTTGTCGTATCCATCACCGACTACTGTAAAAATGTGCATTTGATAGTAAACTCTGCCTGTTTTTCTGTGCATTCTGTGAAGTTGTGAGCTAGTTGTGTTGGCTGGTGATGTAAACATAGTTTAACAGCAGCAGCTTTTGCTAGTTGCCTTCCATTCAGATCTTAGTAATAAAAAATCTCCCAGAGGAGCTAGATGATGAATAGTGCAGTCACAAATACACTTGCTCTTTTTCTTCAGGAGTAGTGGTCTTCCAGTTCCAGTCCATGATGCTTTTTTTACTGTGTTTCTTAGGCTTTCCTTCTCCTTGGGAGACTGTTGTATGTTTTCTGTAGCCCAAATGATGTTTGGTCCCTAGGAAGAATGGAAGAGTGAAGCTTGAATTTCTAACTAAAGTGCAGTTTTGTTTTCTGTCCTCATAATTTTCTGTGGAAAATAATTTTTAAAAATAGTGGAGTTGCTTTAAGGAGCTCTGTGGGTTTTGGTTTTCAGACTATCACACGGTATCAGGAGAATAAGAGCAGTGCTTCACTGAGCAAGAAGTACAGCTGTCTCTCCTCAAAACTAAACAAATGCAGCTGTCAACTTTTGGGGTTTTGGTGCAGTTGGGTATTTTCCCTCTAAGATAAATGGCGTGAGTTCTTGAAAATAGAGTGAAGATTAGTTCATGCTGTTTGAAGTGTGTGTTACGGCATTGCAGCACTCAGCCAGAGTTGTGTCTGGAAAAGTCGCTGCAGTGCTGTCTGTTTTCGCATTCATCCCTTCTTCCAAATAATTTCTGCTATGGCAGGTGCCAGCGCTGGCTGTCAGACACTTGGAGGGAAAAGAATCTGAGGTTGAACTGAATTGCAGCAGTGAGTCTGAGGAAGATTTGAAAAAGGGTACAATATTTATTGTGTACAAATTAAAGTTTCCAAACGTCAGACTAATCATGAGAATAAACCTGGGTTGTTTTTGAGCCCAACATTTAATTCTCCACTGTTTCAATAGGAGGGTAATAGGAAGCACAAAATAGCTGCACTCAGCAGGGATCTCATGGTTCACTCATAGGAACCTTGGGGTTTTCTAGTTAAAATAGCAATGCCCAAAGGCAGGGTGACTGAGTGGGATGTTTTCCTACCACCTCTGCTGATGGGGTCTGTGGCTGGCTGAGACCTGGACTACTTTATGTGACTTGCTGCGTCTTGCTGCTGGGCTGCCTCCCCAGCTTGGCCCATTGCTTTACCTATTGAGGCAATGAGTCTAATGTGGGGGTATTTCTGCAGAGTGCTTGGATGAAAGACAACTGAAAGGATGCATTGCAAGTGCTTTGTTTTCTCAGATTGCAATCAAAGCTGGTGTATCTCTTTGAAGAAGAAGGTTAATAGTAAAAAAAAAAACATGTGGCTTCAGGCCTGATAAGGACATGTAAACACATTGCCAGCACAGCTGGCCTGAGTGAACCAAACAGGCTGCCCTTGCAGTCATTAGATTTGAGCCTATCTCTTCCTGTGGGTTTGTTTTTTCTGGCACTGGTCTACTGCTTTGATTTTCATTGGCTTCTAAGGTATGGATACCTACCAATGCAAAATATGGTATGAGTTAAGAAATGTGAGTAACACAAACTCTGTAAGCTCTGTTTTAATCATACTTGGGTATTTATGAGTTCTGAGGTAGCGAGAATAATTAAAAAAAAAATTGCTGTGGATGTTAAGTGTCACGTAATAAATGAAGTGTCAGTTTCATATTTCAGAGATACTGAGCTGAAATCATATTGGGTTTACTAAAATTGACAGCAATTACTTTTCCATCAGTGCTGCTAAAAATTCAGGAGCTTTTGCCCCTTTGGTAAGGCATTTCCTCCTAAGTATTTCACATGTTAAGAGCACCTCAAGATTCTACCTATGAACAGTTATTCTTTCTTTACCTTACCTTATTTAGGAAGACAACATACTGCCTGGGGCAGGGGCTGCCTGTGGGTGGGAGCCCCAGGAAGCTGGCAGCCAGGAGTGTGTCTGGCAGAGCTTCTCCTGGCATCGTGATGCCCAGCTGGGAGCAGCTGCAAGGCCTTTGAGAGCAGAGCCTTTCCAGCCCATGCCCTAGAAAGGACGGCTTCCCCCATCTGTATAGCTGCTTATCTTACCACCTTTCTTGCCACCAACAAAGAGACTCACCTGGCTTAGTGCTCTAAGTCTTGACCATGAAACCCAAAATAAAAAATGAAAATAATTTTGTGCTTGGTGTTTACTCCTATGGCCCAGCTGAAAAACTGTCTCACAGCTCTGTGTGTGGTGTACAGTGCTACCTGCATGCAAACACCAGTGGGATGTGAGCCAGCAGTGTGCCCGAGTGGCCAAGAAGACCAATGGCATCCTGGCCAGTATCAGAACTGGTGCAGCCAGCAAGAGCAGGGAGGTGATTGTGTTCAGTTTTTGTCCCCTCGCTACAGTAAAGACATTGAGGCCCTGGAGTGTGTCCAGAGAAGGGCAACAGAGCTGGTGAGGGATCTGGAGGGAACTGGGAACTGGTGAAGGGTGTGGAGAGGAGGAGGCTCAGCAGAGATCTTTACAGCTCCCTGAAAGGAGGCTGTGGCAAGGTTGAGGTTGTTCTCTTCTTGGTAACAGTAATAGGATGAGAGATAATGGCGTTAAGTTTTGCCAGCAGACTCTAGGTTGGACATTAGGAATAATTTTTTCTCAGAAAGAGCATTGAGGCATTGGAGCACACTGCCCATGGATGTGGTGAAGTCACCATCATTGGAGGTGTTCAAGAAATGCGTAGATGTGCACTGAGGGACATGGCTTGGTGAGCGTAGTGGTTATGGATTGATGGTTGGACTTTGTGATCTTAGTGGTTCCCAACCCTAACGGTTCTGTGATTGTATTAAACAGTATAGTGCCTGTCCCTGAAATGCTTTGTGTGCAGAGCATCATGCACTATGGGACAAAGAAAGGGGATGAATCATTTCCATCCTGAAAAGCAGTACTGATGGCCACTCAAGTTAGAGTCCTGCCAGAAGTGGTGCATGAGAAATGTCGGTACTGCTACTTCCCTTTTAATTTCACTTTTATGTTTGGCAGCAGAAAGATCACTCGTGTGCTCTTTGAGCTGCAAAATACCAATGTCTATAGAGATGCCTTAAGTGAATAATAGTTATGTGTCCTACTATATGGAGCGTAATTAAAATGTCTACCCCTTGAGAGTCTAAAGAAAAAAAAATTGCTCAATTACATTTTTCCTGTATTTCAGTACTTTAATCACAGTTCATTTTAATAGAATCTATGCTTAAATTACCAAATTAGCTCAATCCCAAAGTAAGACTACTTCTGTTGGGCACATGATAAGCATTCAGATCCTCAGTGTTTGACTGCAAAGGAGCAGCAGCTGACCCAGGATCCTGGCTGCTGAGAGCTCTTGGATGTCTCACTGGGCAAGTGATGCCCAGTAGCGTTGGGAAGAGCTGCATTGTGCATAGGGTCACTGCAGGCTGTCAGAGTTCTGAAGTCCACACTTCCTCTTTTGATCTCTTTCTCCCTTTTGAAATAAAAGGTGGTTTTGAAGACATTTCCATATTAACCTGTGATAAGAGTGTGTGATTGAGTCGCTTTAGATGTAAACCTAACCTGCTAACTGTGATACTAACCCTGTATGCAGATGCAGGGTGCTGAATGTATGTATAGACATATGAAAGTTAAAGCTTGCAAGCCACAGTTTGGCATAGCGGATATGAATTCTTGATGATTTTTTGAGATGTTTTGCTATATAGTTCATGTCAGGCTCAGCAGAACAGCTCAGGACATTCATGTGAAGGAGCTGGCCAATTGGAAGGGGTAACAAATGGAGGAAAGCACAGAATACAGCACTGAGCTGAATGGATTGTTTTCCAATAACAAGGCACATATTGCTTTGGCTGCTCCTTGAATTGACTGTTTCACTGCCTATCTAACTGTACCTGAAGACATTTCATGAACTGCGTGAAATAAAATGCAATAAATATACAGCTTGGAAAAACACCATATGGTTGAATGGATTTCACAGATTTCTCATATAAAACAAATTCATTCTTTGAATAACATCTGTGTGAGTGAAGGACCGAGTTCTGCAAGGTGCTGGATTAATGCAAGTTAGTTCAGAAGGCTTTTGGACAGCAAATGAGAAGAAGCAGCTCAGGGGCATTGAGCTGTTGTTTGCCAGCCATCAGAACAACCTGCTCTCTCCTTGTTAATGGTAGCACATCACAAACAGCAGTCAGGTGCTGTGTGATGTCTCTGTTCTTGAAAGTTCTGTCATTAGTTTTGAATCAGCTCGCTCGCCCTTTAATTTGTGAATGAATCCCATCTAATACAAGCTAACAACACAGTTGTGGGTGTGCAGGTATTGTTGAGCTGTGTCATAAATATCCTGGATGCAGTAATCTTAGGTAATGGTCTTAGCCGAGGACAGTTTTGTTTTAGACTGGTGCTGCACTCCAGGTGTGACTGCTGAACTGTGTAAGTATTAATTCTACAAAATACTTTCCTTTATGTGGCTCTTGAGCACCAAGTTCATTATTTAGGACCGCATGTTGATTTGGAACCTTAATCTAACTTGGAAAGTTCTTGGCAAGCGCTTTCCTTAATTCCTTATTTCATTTTAGGTTGAGATTGTTAGCTTTATTCCCTTCCCCCCTTTTTTTTTTCCCCTCCTGTTCTGTTTCTTTTAAGTAATGCATTTAATAGCACCGTGAATAGAGCTTGCATGCTGATCACTCGATGAGTGGTACTCCTGTTTACACTTTTAAGACTTCTTTGAACCTGGCTGCTTCTGACACAGCAGCGTTGGTAGCATTACCATCATTACAAGATGAAAGCTGGAAGCTTTTAAGCTTAACAAAATAGAGTGGTAAAATACAACCTTTGTCCTGGGTTCCATAGCACACTTTTACTTTGTTTTTCATCTCCTGGATTTTATTGTTAGCATGCTGAGGTGAGCAGCACTGGTTTATCCTTCTTCTAACGACACTGATGCCTACTGCAGACTGTGGATCATCATGGATCAATGAACAATGCTGCGGGTCTGCATAAACCTCTGAGTTTGTATCCTGGCATAGTGAACTTCTTTTTGAAGTACTCTATTACAGTCAACTTGTCAGTGTATTCCTGAGCATTTCTCGGGTGCTTTACTATGCTGAGAAGTCTATTTTCCTCAGTACTCACCTGGGATCGTGTATTTACAAGGCGTTGTGGGGTTGGATGCAGTTCCTACGCTGCTTGCTGTGTTTTGCTGACTTCTAGCAGTTACATCTTTGTGCATTCTTGCAGCCCTCACTGGGTGGACTTGGCCACTCCTGCATGCCCAGCGGCCAAAGCAGCCCGTCTCCCCCGCCTCACAGCTGCACAAATGACTGTCACATTAAGGTCTTATTTGCTGGTGTAAATTACCCTTTAAATAGCAATCTGTCCTGGAAGCGGACGTATGTATAGCATTAAAATCGATAACGATGTTTTTAAGGTTAATGGAACTGCTGAGAAATCTATTGGGATAACGCACGCTTTCATATCAGTTGACTTTGCATCTTTGCGCGACTGGTGCGGTGGCTGCGGGTGAATTCCCTCTGACGCAGGGCCCCTTTCCGCACCGAGCGCCGTGCCGCCGGCCTGGGCTCCCAGCGGCGGGGCCGGGCTCGGCCTTATCCGGCGGCGCCCCCTGGCGCTCGGTGACGGCTGTGCTTTGTCCCGCAGGGCGCACCGGGCGCTACACGCTGATCGAGAAGTGGCGGGACACCGAGCGGCACCTGGCGCCGCACGAGAACCCCATCGTGTCGCTCAACAAGTGGGGGCAGTACGCCAGCGACGTGCAGCTCATCCTGCGCCGCACCGGGCCCTCCCTCAGCGAGCGGCCCACCTCGGACAGCGTGGCTCGCATCCCCGAGAGGACGTTGTACCGGCAGAGCCTGCCGCCCCTGGCCAAGCTGCGGCCCCAGAACGACAAGGCCATGAAGAGGAGGGAGCCCAAGAGGAAGTCCCTGACCTTCACCGGCGGGGCGAAAGGGCTGATGGATATCTTTGGGAAAAGTAAGGAGTCCGAGTTCAAGCAGAAGGTGCTCAACAACTGCAAAACGACGGCGGACGAGCTGAAGAAACTGATTCACCTCCAGACGGAGAAGCTGCAGTGCATTGAGAAGCAGCTGGAGTCCAACGAGGCCGAGATCCGGTACTGGGAGCAGAAGTACAATGCCAGCCTGGAGGAGGAGATCCTCAAGCTGGAGCAGAAGATCAAGAGAAATGAAGTGGAGATCGAAGAGGAGGAGTTCTGGGAGAACGAGCTGCAGATTGAGCAGGAGAACGAGAAGCAGCTGAAGGAGCAGCTGCAGGAGATGAGGCAGCGCATCCTGGAGTGCGAGGGCAAGCTGAAAGACTACATGTCCCAGATCCACAACATGGAGAGCGGCCTCGAGGCGGAGAAGTTGCAGCGGGAGGTGCAGGAATCCCAAGTCAACGAGGAAGAGGTCAAAGAAAAGATCGAGAAGGTGAAGGGTGAAATCGATATTCAGGGCCAGCAGAGCCTGAGGTTGGAAAATGGCATCAAAGCTGTAGAAAGATCTCTGGGCCAAGCTACCAAGCGGTTACAGGTAAGAGCAACCTTTTTATCCATTGTTAAAGAACAGTCAAAGATGTAATTGTAATGAATTTTTGATGTGACCGAAAAAGCACAAGAAACTTGCAGTGGTGAACTTGAACAAAAGGAAGAAAATGTTCCTCTCGCTTTCACATTGCTCTTCAGGCTTCTCTTGAAGAGCAGATAATTAGAATTGCACCTATCGCATGCAACCTCTAGTTATTCATGTGCAGGCTTTCTTTTCTTTCCCATCAGTTACAGCTTTAGTTTGCCACCACTCGCTGGCTGCCTGCTGATTTCTCAGATATCATTCAGAGCATATCTTTGCCATGCAGCAGAGCGTGACAGAGAAGCACCAGTGCTAATATCAGTTGGGCTCGCTGAAGGCAGCGTGGCCGTACCCACGGCAGTACATCTGGCCCTTTGCCCTGCTCTGCTGTGGGTCTGGGCTTTTAATGCTCAAAAATATCTTCCGCACAAATAATAGAGCATGCAGGGCTAGCAGAGAAAGGTTGTACTGCAGATGCTAAACAGGACCATAGTGCTCTCAGCCAAATTCTCTTCCAAACATTTGTCTTCAACACCTGTTGGTCTGGGGTTAGATATGTTAAGGATTTAGGTCCTGGGTCTTGGCAGCTGAGTGTCTCGTATAGTCACATTTCAGGGGAATTGGCACCATCATGCCTTTTCTGAGACTGAAGTTTTGATTCTTGCTGGTCTTTCTGCCTCCAAAGATAATGAATTAAAAAAGAACAGTCTAAAAGCAGCAGCTGGGTAAATGGATGTACAGTTAAGATAGCTGCTGTCTTTCAGGGCCATTGTTTTAAAGAACAGCATCACCCTTCTCCTGTCTGACTTGCTGGTAGTCAGGATTTCATTTTCTCTCCACTTCAAGCAGCTGCTGCATGTGACACAAGAGAATCCAGTCTCTGCTTCCTTGCAAAAGTTAACGATGTCGCCTGCAACTGAATAGACCGTGAAAGAATAAATATAAATGGAGATCCAGCTGCTAGCAGAGAGGTGAAGGAGAAATTGTGACTTTGGGGATCAGGTTTACTCCTGGACTTTCAACTGTACTGTGCAGGGTAGGACTAGGCACTGCCCATCTGTTAGATGTCCTCAGTAGCTCCTGCTGAGGCTGTGATTAAGTTCAAGCTCTTGCTTCATTTTTTTCATAGATGAGGGTAAGTTTCTGCAAGTTCAGGTCTTTCAAGCTTGTTCTAAAGTTGAAGGTGCAGTGGTCTGGAAGATCAGCTTAAAAAAATAGCTCCCAAAATGATGTAGTACAGTTGAGAACAGAGGAATAATTTCTCATATGCTGTAAGTTAAATATTAACACTGATAGAGCTGGTTGATTTGAAACTAGAAAAGTTGAGATGGGTTTTTAGATTGTTCAGTGTGGAAGGAAAGAAAATGTTGGTTCACTAAGTTGAAAGTGATAAGAAAAGAGGTGTGGGACTTGTGAGTGGGTTTTCAGAAATCTTTAGTGATTTGTGCCATCTCTTCTCTATCATTCAGTTTCTGTAGCCACTGCAGTAGACATCGTTTTCTAAAATTGGAGGCTGTATTTATTTAAAGATCACATGCAGAACTCTGCTTTACTTGTTTCTAGATATTGAATGCAAAACCAAAACCAAGCAATCAAACAGCAAAATGACCAACAGAAAAACCCACTGCCCTTCTTCAAGAAAAAGGCCTCACTAAGGTTTCACAAGTCAACATTAAATCGAGATCTCATCCCAGTCAGATTTGGAATGATAATTAACATTTTTTACCTAATTTTCTCAAAGAGTTGATAAATGTCAAGAACAAATGATTTATGAAGATCTGCTACCTTGCAAATTGCAATGATTTTATCTTTTTTTTTTTTTTTTTTTTTAAGAACAGAATTATCTCTGGTTGCAGCTGTGTTACAATCTCATGAAACATGGCAGTGCAGAATTAATTAAAAACAGTTGTGAAGTGTAATGGGTCTAAAAAAGAAATTGGAGATTTTTTTTTTCTGAGGAATTGTCTGAACATGTAGAGGTGGCCTAATCCCATTTGTCAGCCCTCCAAAAGCTCTTAGCAAACAAGTGGAAGCAAGCTTGGCACAGAGAGCGAGCTAGGGCCAGCCACACAGCCTGCATTGGCTGAACAGGTTCAACAAAAACACGTCGGTGACAAAGCCATTGGCACTTAAGGTCCTAATTTAAACATTGGATCACTTTTGTCAGTTTTCTTATTACCTGCTGAATTCAGTCTCACCTTTGACCATTATACAAGTTTGAAGTGAGTAAGGACTGCGCTAGCTGGGACTGTTCATACAAAAGATCCACAGAACTTTTCTTTCCCTGCTCTTGTGAGTTCACATCTACCTCTGCTTGTGCAAGGTAATTTAGGAGAGGAAGGCTGATTCGCCCTCCCACGTCTCACCAAAATGAGAACAGAGGGGCACTTACGAAATGGAACTGCCCATGGACATGATGCCTGGGTAGCTCACCCATTGCCAGTGGGGCCAAGTAGGCAATGCCCCTCCTGTCTGTTGAGGAGTACCACTTGCAGACAGCCAAGAAGGTGGAAAAATTATATTCTAAGAAAAATGATATTTTGAGGCTGTCATTCTGTCATCTATTGGAGCTGTAGGTACTGCATACCATGTCAGAATCGCAGAGAGTGGAGAAGGAGCCTAATGGTCATCTTTTGTATTTGTGAAGGGCTGGGTGAATTAGCCTACATTAGACCTCAGCGTACAAAACATTTGCAGAATGGGACAGCTCTGTCCGTAAGAATTTAGTCTCTAGGTAGAAAATGGAAAGAACGGGAAGAGAAAGAAAATACTCTTGTAGGAACAGAACTAAATGAGCTGTCCCAGTTATGCTGGACACTTCTGGCAGAGGTAGGAGAACTGCTCATTCAAAAATCACTGGAAGTAGACCACCGGTAACTCCTAATAAGTAATAGTGAGTGATGACTTGCCTTCTAAGTTACAAGAGTAAAATACCTTTCAACTCTTTCATTTGCATTTGATTTTAAAAATAGGACATTTCCTCATTGAAAGGAGGAGCAACATTTTGCCCAGTTGCAAATAAAGTCCTTACGTGATGCTTTATGATTGCTTCTGCTCAGCAGATGTTTTCTTTTTCCTTGCAGGACAGGGAACAAGAACTAGAGCAACTGACAAAGGAGCTGCGACAGGTCAACCTCCAACAGTTTATCCAGCAAACAGGAACAAAGGTCACAGTGCTGCCAGCAGACCCTGTTGAGGTGGAGGCCCCACCTGTGGAGCTCGAGAGAGGTGCAGCACCTACAATGGTTTGGGCGGAGGGAGAAGGGAATAGCAGTATGTGTACCTGCTGCATTAACACCAGCATTTGCACATCAAGTGAACGCTGTGCTAGCAAAGAAGCTAGCAAAATACTGAGAGAATGGTGTCAAATATTTCTCTTAATCCCAACGGGTTAGCAAGCTATAAATAATACAGAGTTATTAGTGGCTTCTCTCTCCCTGTGGCACAAGCAGAAACTTCATTGCTGTGCTTCAGCCTCTGCTGTGTTACATTTTATTCTGTGATCTGCTTGCAGGGACCCCTTTGTTGCAGGTTTTTTTTCAGCCATAAACTTTCAAACTAAAAGGCATAAGGTAGGGAGGTGGGGGGAGAAGACAGGGTGATGAGGCCTTAAACATCAGTATTTGAAGAGTATGAAGTTTTTCATTTAAGTGGGCAGAAAGCTTTGAGTTATATATAGGTACAGGATCTTTCTGTACATTACTGCATGAATGCACTGCGTGTATCTGTGTGTTCCTTGTGGGAGAGTAATTATACTGAGTAGCTCTCTGTTTTGAAATGAGGAGGGAGCGTGCACCTCAGCTCTCATCGTTCCAATTCAGGCACTTGAATTATTTGTTGTATGTAGTGCTGTTTTTTATTCGAAGCTGCACTGACTTTGCCAGAAAGCAGGAAGAAGGGAGGTGTTGTGTGACGTTACCTTTGGTGATGACCTTTCTAACCACCTTCTTTCTTGTGCAGAGCCGACATTTCAGTCGGGGTCATTGAAGCGCCCTGGGTCATCGAGGCAGCTCCCCAGTAACCTTCGGATCCTGCAGAATCCCCTGTCGTCTGGTTTTAACCCGGAGGGCATTTATGTATGACACTATATGCCTCTAGGAGAGGACCTAGCAAGGTACCCTGGACAAGATACACTTTTCTTTTGTTCTGCCAATGATCAATGGAAGAAGCTTTTTGGTTTTTGTTTTTTTTGTTAAACCACCCTTTTTTTATTTGTCTTCTTCCTCCAACACACTACTTGGAGCCATACCTTGTGCACTGAAGAGGCAGAGGAACTGTCTCGATTCATAAGTGGCAATGGTGAAGTTGCTGTCACACACCTAGAGCGCAAAACCAAATGGAGGTCTTTGCCACTTCAGAAGCATTTGGGAAAGTATTATTCCATGTATAGGCATAAATAAAAGACTGAGGGTGAAGGAAACCATGTATGCAACTGATTTGAGGTTTAATTTATTCCTTTTAATCAATGGACGTGTGAATGTTGGCCTTTTATATTTTTTATTTTTTAACTTGTGAATAATCATGTATGCTTGTACATCAGTCTGACAAGGTGACTTTAATTTGCATGTACAGACATCCAGCATTTGAGCAAGTGCAACAGCTTGCAATGTGGAGAGTTGTGTGCTGAACCTCTAAAATGGTTCCTCACCACTGGCTTTGTTCCTTTCTGTTGTGGGTCGTACATCACGTTCCATCCGTTGCTACCTTTTAAGATTTGAAAAGCGAGTTTGTGGGATTTACTTGCTGTTGAATCTGCCTTGAGAAAAGCACCTAGTGTTCAAAAGACTGAAGGAATTAAAACCTTAGCTTGGTAAGAATATTTCCAGCATACAATTGAGGATGCACTAGTTAGATGATATTTTATTATATAGAATGTATATTTGAAATATTTTGCCACATTGTATATGCCTTTTGAGAAAAAAACAATGTAAGAAGTTGTCTTCATATATCTTACCAAAAGAGAGTAAGAGGCTTTCACTGTGTGTGATTTTGTACTTTATTTCTGCCAATAGCCATTACAGTGTTCTTGTTTTGCAGTAAATCATGCTGTTGGAGGAGAAAAAAAAACAAAACAACACAAATGAGCATCCGCTCCCAGCCTTCCAGAGTTCACCCAGGTTTTGTAGAGGGAAGAAACCTGGCAGAGTCCCGTGAGGTCGGTAGCAGAGCTTCTGCTGACTTGAGTGGAGCTAGGCCAATTTCATTCCAGGTCCCCAGTGTAAAATGGTAGACTTCAGCCCCTTAGAAAACATACTGCTGCTCAGTCATTTACAGAACATGAAGTATACAAACAGAAAATCAAAAGATCTAGTGGATGGTTTGGGTTTTGGTTTTTGGGGTTTTTGTTTTGTTTTGTTTTGTTTTGTTTTTTTACAAAAAACCAAACCAGCAAAGAGATAACATTTTATCTTAATGTTACTCTAATGCAGTCAAAGCGAGCTCTAGACAAAATGGCTTTTGTTCAGAAAGATACTACCAAGTAGCATGTTGGGTGTGGGTCTTGAAATTGGATTGACAGCATGCACGAGTTTGCAGAGTAAGTTATTGGCATCAGTGAGATAGCTGATATACATTAGGAGGCTACAGCCTCATGGGTGAGATGGAGAATGGATGGACCTTACCTAGTTGCGTTTGGATTTCCTGTTCTAACAGCAGCTCGAACTATCATTCACACATTTGGAATGATGGTCACCATGACGTGAGAGGGTGTCACAGTGCTGTCACTGTAATATTTAATAGTTAGGTCCCCAGAGCACAAAAACAAAGAGGAATCCCAGAGTTCAGTCAGTGGCAAAATGACAGAACTCCCAATACCTTTGGTAGGGTCAGGATTTTACCACTGGTAGGAAACTCCAAGCTTTTTAGCCACAGAAAAATTTTAACTCCTAGTATCTTCTTGTGTTGATTTACTGGTGTGCAGATAAATGTTAATTTCAATTTTCTTTTTTTTTTCTTCTTTTTTTTTTTAAGAAAAGGAGCTTCTTAGTCATACTGACAAACAGTGGCTTTATCAGATATAGAAGATGAAGGACTCTTGAGTGTTCAATACATTTTTTATTTTCCACTTATTAATGGCATCATATATTCTAAAAATGCTGCTGTACTTAGACTAACAGCAACAGATAAGGCTGTGAATATATAAAAAGGACCTTTCCGAATGGACTCTGAATTTTTACTGTTTAAATTATCAGGTCTTCTTTTTCCCTTGTGAGTAAACTGGAAAATGAGATGTTCCTATCCAAGGAACCTTCGCAGTGCTCACAATTTTACTGTTAGTTTATCACAATTCTGTGCTCATGTTTACTGCGCCCATAACTTTGTATTAAAAAGAGAATGTGTATATAGATATATATATATATATATATTAAAAAAAATGTAAAATATACATAGTTTCAGGACAATATCTGTCCAAGGTACTTGAGCATATATGCCTTACATTCTGGGTTCAATTTACAGAAAAAAAAAAAAAAGTGATACTCTCCAGTGAATAACTTGCATCTTCAGCACCTCCTCTTGACACTAGAGAACCGAGGCACTCAGCACCTTGCAAACTCTGGCCCAAATTATGCTGCACGGGAACGGGGGGAAACGCAAGGAAAAGCCTGTTGCAATCTTAGCCTTGTGCTGAGGTAAGGTAGATGAGTATACATACCCACTTAATGTTGTTGTCAGACTTTAAGTGACTGGTCCATCTCCCACAGATACAAGTTTGAGCTGAACTGAGCTCTTGGGGCATAAAGAAAAACAACTGCCCTCTTTCTCTGTGAGGTTATTCCTGAGGTTAGAGGGAGGAGGAAAAGGATTGAAAGGAAGAGGAAGAGCAGCTTTGGAGGGCTTGAGTTACGGTTTCCTAATAGAACCAAGGAAGGATTTTCCCATTTAAGTTAAAAAATAAAACAATGGCATCTGCTGATTGCAGCAGCTATTTGACTGAAGTGCCAGCCTAGAGCTGACTCAAAAACAGCCACTGCATCACCAAGGGGATCCACCTTATCGGGGCTTTAGCGAATGTCAGGGTGGTGTAGAGAACATTTACATCTTCAGCCACTGCTGTGGCAAAGGAGAGGCTTCTGTGTCTGAGCCTGCCATTTGTGAGACGGCGACAAATCTGCAGCTCCCTCCCTCCGTACTCCTGTTGCTTACTGAATTTCAGCCAGGTTAACGTTTTGTAGCATTTTCACCCTCTCTGTAAATAAACCAAGAAGAAATGGCATGCCATCACATTAAATGTGAATTGAACAATGTATTACAGTTATAAAATTTCCTCACGTTACGGCGCTAAGAGTTTTGCTTGCGATCAATTACAGAACCTCACTCTTTTTTTGGAAATGTAGAAAAAAGTCATTTTCAGAAGTGTTTCAAACCTCCTCATGGGACATTAGCAGGAAAGAAGCTACATGTACTAATCAAGTGCCAGATTATGTACTGGCCAGCATAAGTATTTTTGTTTGCATTAAATAGTTAAATACGCCAGCACTGTTTTCCAGTGCACGGGGAATTTATATGGAGAACTCCTGAAGTTTATTTACTTACACTAATGGAAATTAGCTGTTACCTCTCCAATCCACGAGGATACAGTTTATGTTTGGTGGTGATGCTATGTTGTTGGGGGAATGGGGAGTGACTGACTGACAAGCCAGTAGGGTAATGCTAAGGTAAATGTTCTGAATGCCCAAGCAACGGAGAAATGCAAATCCCACTTTGAAAAGTGAGCTAGGAACCTGCCTCCCATTATCCTTCGGTGGGACTTAGGTTCCCAAGTGCCTGAATTGCTTCTGAAAATGCTATGTTAGCTTTGTGATTACTTGTTTTTATTAACCCTAGCAAGCTGGAAGGAAGTTCTGTAGCAAGAGAACTACCACTAGCATTAGCAATATGCAGACATGCTTTCATTGTGAGGTAAGAGGGAAAAGATCTTTTAGTGAAGTAAGTCTCCTCTAGGGGCAATAATTGCCTTCTTTTTAGCTTGAAGAGTATATTTTAGTGAACTGGGATCATATGAGTATGAACAAAAAACAGATCTTGTAATTTTTAGCGAGTTATCTTGAAGCATATAAATTCCTGATGTGCATTAACTTGAGTGAATTGGGCCTTAATGATCCATGTAAATACCAAAACTGTATTCAGATATTTTCTCCAGAAAAGAGTCTTTAATGGTCTGTACTGTATCAAAATTGATAAGTGTCAAAGTGTTACTTTATATTACACTTCTTTTTTTTTTTAAATAGAACATTGAAACATGCATGTTTATTTGCTACAGTATTTTAATGTTTTGGATGAAGGCCATCAGTTGTATGGAGATGACAAAACAATCACTCTATTTATTCAGTATTGCTGCTTAAAGTTTTCAAAATAAAGCTTTCAATGCCAATATAGTGACTGATTGAAAGCTGTTCTAGCTCTCTTCAGCTGTTTTGGTTTTTTTTTTTCTTTTTTTTTTTTTTTTTTTTTCCTGCTTATAGAAAACTAAAGAAATGAAACTTGGTATATAAGCTGTTCTACCTGCAAGGAATTATTGCAATAATATTGTGGGATGGCTGGGAGTATGTGTGCAGTATATACATAAATACATGCATGCAGTGAATGCCTTGAGTAAATGGACTGCTGAAGAATGTTCAAATCCTTTGCAGTGTTGCAAGCAACTTCCAGGTGCGACCAAATACTGTTTTAACTCTTCACACCAATGTGTGAAAGACAGAACGAGTAGAGGTGGTCTTAAAGGATAAATTCAAAGTCCTTTGAACCAAATAGGGTTTAACCACAGGTGTGTTTCTGAATTGGGCCTAAAAGCATGTTCTGATAGAAAAGGCTTTTCTGTTACGGCAAGAATGCTTCATTTCAAGCATATTTGGTACCTCTGGAAATGCACGCAGTTCCAAGATGAATCAAATACGTCCACTATATTTAGTAAAAAGGGTATCAAAATGCAGAGGACATGCATGCTTGTGAATACAGCCACCTGGTGAAACTACTCACTGGGGGTCAGACTGGAAGATCAGAGTTGCTGAAGCTTTAACACTGAGAAGCAATGCCAATTAACTGTGAAAACACAAATGAGCATTTTCTTACTGCTCTGCTTCAATGCAAGATAAAAATCTGTACTATATGTAACTATATTTTGTCATTTAAAAAGCTTCTATTTTTGATTATTCTCATGAATGGTTGACAAAAGATATTGAATATGCTCCCATACAATAAATGCCCCTCTGAAACTTTGGGTCTTTACAGTTCATGGTTTGCTGGAATTGCACTGTACCTCTTGTATACACTATACCTCTTCATCTACAGCTGAACTCTGTCCATTAAAGAACAAGATGATGTTCTGTGCGGCTGGAGCTCAAATGCTTTCAGAAATGGCCTTCTCTTGAGCATGATTGTGGCTGCTCCCAAATGATAATTTACCTGAGGCAGGGGGCACGTGGCTCGTCACTGTGGGACCTCTACCGGAAAGTGTGCATGTACAAATACAGCCAAGAAACTGAAGAGGTGATGGAGCTTGTTTTTACCTGAAGAGATTCATATTCATCCCCAAATAAACGGAAAGGATCAGTAACTCAGAGGAAATACAACTTTTAAAGCAGAGAGGCAGGAGTTGTTAGATGATGATCAGAAAGGGGAATTGAATATACAGAATCTTCAAAGAAAGATGCACAAGATGCATATGCTTCAGTAAGAGAAAATCAAGCTTTGAACAGAGAGCTAGAGGCCTGATTCAGGTTTAATTCCTGTGCTGAAGACAGCAGGGCACATGAACATCACTTGAGTTCATTATTGTTGACCAGGGGAACTTGCCACAGCCAGGGAACAGTGATTTAAGTTATCCAAAGTCCTTAGTCTAATGTCCCAACAAATCTATTTTCCTAAACCAACTGAAGCTCAATCTCATTAGATGTGAAGATAAATGAGCTAACAGTAGTAGTGCTGTTGACAGACAGATGAGTTCATGAGCTTCACTAAAGCCCTAGCTAGATGCATTCATATTAGCAGGACTGTGTAAGTTTGTAAAGGAACTCTGCTCCTGAAAGATGCCATTTTCTGCTTCTGTGCGAGTCACCTAGCTGATTTTTGTGGTAACTAAGGCTTGCCAGTGTGCTCCAGTAGAGCCAGTGACACAGCTAATGGTTCTGATCTTTTGCTTCACCTTAAAAGAACAAAGTGGTGCTGTGGCACTAACTAGCTCAGTGTAGCTGGACCACTAATGAGTTGCAAAACCAAAGCAGATCAAGGGTCCATTTTGTTTAGAAGCTGTTCTGAGTTCTTCTGCCTGTCACACCCTTGTCAGCTAGGTGATATTTCTTTGTAGTCCCAATTTTTAATGATTGTTTCAACTAAGTTCTCTAGTATCTGAAGTAGGACACAGTAGGTGGCTGTCCATTATTGTCTTTCTTGAAAATGATATATTTGCTAGCTTTGGTAATGTAGCTAATGCCAATGAGTGAACACTGTCTAGGTCAGCCACTGTTTCATCATTAATTTTCTCCAGAAATATTGGATGGAGACAATCTCAGCTGGTCTGGTTTGTTCTATTTTTCCAGATGGGTGTGCTGTGTACTTTGTCCCCTTCTTTGCAGCGAGTTCCCTGTTCTTGTGCTGTCGTGTCACCAAACTATGGCTTTGAGTTGCTAAGCATAAGCTCCTGTTTGGTGGTCAACTTCATAGAATTGTAGAACGGCCTGGGTTGAAAAGGACCACAATGATCATCTAGTTTCAACCCCCCTGCTATGTGCAGGGTTGCCTTGAATGTCTCCAGGGATGGGGCATCCACAACCTCCTTGGGCAACCTGTTCCAGTGTGTCACCAAATCCGTGTAAAGAATTTCATCCTAATATCTAACCTAAACCTCCCCTGTCTCAGTTTAAAGCCAATCCCCCTTGTGCTATCACAATCCACCCTTGTAAACAGCCATTCCCCCTCCTGTTTGTATGCGCCCTTCAAGAAGTCCACAATGAGGTTTCCCCAGAGCCTTCTCTTCTCCAAGCTAACCACACTCAGTCCTCTCAACCTTTCTTCACAGGAGAGGTGCTCCAGCCCTCTGATCATCTTAGTGGCCCTCCTCTGGACTCATTCCAAGAGCTCTGTGTCTTTCTTGTACTGGGGGCTCTGGGCCTGGATGCAGTAGTCTAGATATTACAGGGATGTGCTAATGCAAGAAGAAACTTGATGCAAAAGGTGATCAACTTACGTGAGCATCCTCCCCACTTGACTCATTGGCTAAGCCGTCGATAGTGTCCACATGCCACTTCCGGTGTGTCATTGTGCCCCTGAGCAGGAAACTTCCTTGCTGTCCCATAGGCAGACCTGCTGTTTCTCTCCCATGCATGTGATTTGCTCTGCAGCAACTCCTGGTAGAATAACCATCCTTTTTTGATTGTTTCATTTTCTAGAGATGCTTTTCAGATCTGAATCCCTGACTATGGAAGGGCTGCAGGGGTCTCTACAGGCTCTCATGGAGTGAGGGAGTATCATTAGAGTAATCCTTTTTATTCAGTCATCCGGAGTAACAGCTACACAGCTGGGGGATTCTCAAATGAAAGAGCTGCCAGCTGGATGTCAGTCTCTGGTATTTGCTTTGGTCCACATGAGTTAATTATGTATTACTTGACTTCAGTTTCCGCTCCTTTGAGTCGCAGGTGTATTGAGGAAAAGGAGGGTTACCAAAAGAAACACACATGAAGTCCAGTCAAGGGGACAGGTTCCAGTGCAGTACCACATTAGTGAATGGCATTTGACCTGCAACAGATATAGGCTATTTCCAACACCTCTCTCATAATTTAATTGCTTCATTAACTACAGATACATTGGCTTGTTCCCCAGTAGCATGCTTTCGTTTATACTGTTCCTCCAAAATACAGAATTGATGCTATTGTTTCAGCTATGTTTTCCCTTTCTGTGCATATTTTTTGCACATACTATTTTGTGTTTGCTGTTTCAGCTATGCTCTTTGCCTTGCTCTATCTCCTTGCAGCAGGAAAAAAAGGCAGTAAATAATTGGGAGATCTCCTGAGAAAATGTAATATAAAAGAACTAATACTTAATCTTGAGCCCAGGTGGAAGGAATAAAAGTTTTTATAGAAGCGTAGAATCCTTAAGAGTTGAGTAGAGACCTCTGAAGGCCATCTACTCCAACTTCCCTGCAATGAACAGGGACACCACAGCTAGATCAGGCTGCCCAGGGCCTTATCCAGCCTTGCCTTGAAAGTCTTCAGGGACGGGGCATCAACAGCAGAAATTTCTGTTATTTCTTTTTAATGAATACAGGTTTGAAAAAGATCTTCAGAGGAGCTCAGGCTGGGCTTATGAGAGGTCCACTTGAAAACCAACACAAATAACAACAACAATAACAAAACACACACACACACAAAAACAAAAACCACAGAACACACACACAAAAAATTCACTGTATCCAGTGAATTGGATGAGGCCAATACGTAGCTGCCTAGCTATTTTTAAAGGGAAGACTGCTGGTATAATAATAATTTTTTAAAAGGAGGGGTGAAGGGAGAAGAGAGGAGGGATGGAAGACATCAATGAAAACATCTGTAACTTGATAATTTGCCCTTCAGCCTCTTTGATGACCTGTGTGATAGAGGGTGAAGAGAACCATCCAGCTTTAGAGGCAGTGATGCAGTACCACTGGGTACCATCAGCAGCTGTTAAAATAAAATGCAGGCCAGCCTTTAAATGGGGAATAACTGGAATTTCTTAATAACGTATAACTTATACGTGTCACAGCCTGCAATAATATATCCCTTGCACTAGATTCACCAAACTGCTTTTGATCAAATGTTATGTGTGAGAAAAGATTATTTGATTTTCCCAGTCAGAATTAACCTGAGGAGAACTTTGATCAGCGAGGTAGAACTGCCTTTCTGAGAAGCTGATGAAAAACCAGGAGCACCAGCCACCTTTTAACAACACCGCCACTGCTGTAATGTTGTCTTAAATGTTACCTTGACCTAAAAAATCTGCATCGTGGTTGCCACGACTATGACCTGGATCCTCCACTGTATGTAGCTTGTCTCGTGATCAAAATGAGTGTGGATGAGACAGAGACACAGCTAAATAAGAAAGGTAAGGCTGTCTGTCCATTAGCTGAGTGTTGGTGTGTAAGGTTTCACTAGGTGCCAGGCACTGGGTAATCTTGCCCCTTTGATTCTATCAAATCACTGCAATTACAACAAGGTCTACACGAGAGGGCAGCAGTACATGCCAACATGCCTGGAGCAACAGACGCACAGCTAGTTGGAAAGCAGATTGTCTAGGCATACAGCACATGAGAGAGAATCACTAAAATACACAACATCCCATCTTTATATGTGTTATTTCAGAAAGGATGCAGTGATGCTTACAAAGGGCTGTGTCCGTGTAGCAGTGAGTGTGGTTGAGGCACAACTGATGCAGTTCCCGCAGTCTGTAAGGAGCGCTCAGGCCTGGTAGCTTTCTAAAACCTC